GGGCCTCATTGAGTTCCTCTTGAATTGGACCCTCTGTGCTTCCTGGACTTGTGTGACTTTTTCTGTCCTCCAGTTAGGGAAGTTATCCATCATTACTTTTTCAAACAGGTTCTCTATCCCTTGCTCCGCCTCTCTCCTTCTGGGATCCCTGTTATATGGATATTATTACATTTCAGGTTGTCTGTCCTGCATTTCCCTCAATGCCTCTTCATTCATTTTTAGTCTTTTTTTCATTTTCTTGCTCTTTCTGGGAGCTTTTTTCTACCTTGTCCTCCAGCTCGCTGATTCGGTCCTCAGCTTCATCTAGCCTGCTTTGGATTCCTTCTGCTTGTTCTTCAATTCAGAAACTGTATTATTCATTTCCTCTTGTGTCTTATTGATAGTTTCTGTGTCCTTTTTCATGCTAATATAGTTTGCAGTAAGTTTCTCACAGTTTCCCTGTAGTTTTTGGTAATTCTCTCTGAGCTCACTGAGCTCATTCAGCTTCTTTAGAACTGTTGTTTGGAACTCAATATCTGATAGTTTACTCACCTCTTATTTCATTTAGTTCTCTTTGTGGGGATTGCTCCTTTCCGTTTGAGTGGGGCGTATTTCTTTGTCTTCCCATTATTTGTGAGACTGTTCTCTTTTGCTTGATTCTTAAGTTGATGTGTCTTGATTTCCTGACTTTGTGGTGTGAACTTCTATGGTAGGAGACTGCTGTTTTTACTTTCTGGATCTGCCTCGGATGATGTCAGACGTTGTCCCTGTCTGACCATAGGCAGTCTGTTTGAGACTTCCAGTAATCTACTGTTTGTGGCTTTCTCCTTCAGCTGTTAATCTCTTCACTCTGCACGCTGCAGGCTGCCTTAGACAGCTGGGGGCAGGGCAGAGTCCCTCCTCGGGGCGGAATAATTGGGTCCTCTCCCACTGCCGCGTTATGGGGGAAGAGTCCACACTGGGATCCTGCCGGCTACTCTCTCTGTTCCCTCCCCAAAGCCTCTGTCCCCAGTCTCTCCTCAAGTGTCGCCAGACCTCTCTGTGCCCCCTTTAGCCAGGGATCTACTGTCTGTGGCTGCCACTCCACACTCAGCAGGCAGCTTACATGGTGGGGTGGAATCCCACCTGGAGGCGGGGCTGTTGGGTCCTTTGATGCTGGTACTGCTCAGGGAGAGTGGTCTCTGCCTGAGCAAGATGGCTGCTGCCGCATGGGGGATGAGTCAGCACCAAGATCCCGGCCAGTCTCTCAGTTCTCTCCCCAAAGCCTCTGTCCCCAGTCTTTCCTCAGGTGTATCTATCCCACTCTGCCCCCACCTTTGCTGGAGACCAGGGTAAGTGGCTGCAAATAAAAATTTATGAGTTGGCCCTTTAAACAGTTCTTTGTGTCTCCAGCCACCTGTCTCTGGCAGAGAGCAACCCTGCTGCTTTTCGCAGCTGGCTGTTTTCTGTGTACTTTGTGGGCTCTGGTGCTGTGGGCCAGAGATCCCCCCTTTTGGTTTAGACCCTGCTCTTCTCAGGGAGATCCAACCGACTGTTTCAATATCCTTCTGGTGCTGCGGCCCGTGGGTGCCCTGCCCTCCTTCTCAGGTCTGTACCGCACTCCTTACCAGTTAGATTGCGCTAAAGCCGATTCTCCTGTCTCCAAGGTTACAAGGCTCCTCTCTCGCTATTGTTCAGTTGCTTGTTCCAGGTGATTTCTCCACAATTTAGTTGTAATTCCAGGTTGGTCCTGGGAGGAGGATAGAGTGACTTCCACTCACTCCTCTGCCATCTTGATTCTCCATATTTGAAAATTTTAATCACTTTTATCCTAACATTCTTTAGGGAGAGCGTTCAGAATGTTTTTATAAACTTCATATTGCTATCAGTACCTTAATATTAATTAAGGAAACTAGTCAGCTTGAGGTAGTAAGAGTAGGATAATGAGAAATAGGATGAGTCAAAAATGGTGAAGAATCAAAAACAAACATAAAAGTCATTTTTTACATATCTTAGATAAATGGATTACTTTAAAAGTAATATAGTACTAAAAGGGAGAATCAGGCTTTTTTCTGAAGGATGAAAATTAAGTTAGCTGGTAATAGGTAGGAGCTCTGTTTCAGTCACATGGCTCATTCTCACCACTGTCCTGCATGTTACATAAATTCACACTTTTTAGTACCACCATGTGTGGGGTGTACTTTGTGAAAAGAGCCAGGATTACAGGTGAAGGACTTTGAAATTCCAAATTTATATTGTTATAAATGAAAGATATAACTATTTTATTTTTGATCTTTGTTATTGAATATACAATAACAAAGATCAAAATAGTTTTAACTTGAGTTGACTTATCTATTCACTAATATCCACCAAAATAATTCAGTTTTTTTCCTCTTATTCTGAACCTCTGTAGTTAAAGCTTAGATGTATATCCTTCAAGGAGCGGTAGATTTAGCACCAACTCTGTGATTACTAAGATAAAGATACCAGCCATAGCGTCTTTGGAGATTTCTGAGCCTGTGCAAGTCAGAACGTGCTTATTTGGAAGATGTGGAAAAGAGCTCCAAGTGGGAAAGTGAAGAATGTGATCCTAGAAGGTGGAATTTTTTCAGATCCTGGATATTTTTCGCTGGGGCCAAATGGTGCAGCAGAAGAGCACTGAGACAAGGGCTTCCAGTCCTGATTGCCCCTTGTTAGTAGATGAAGACCAGCAGGGCTCTTAACCCTACAAGCTTCTGTTTCGTCATCTGCAATGTGGGAATAAAAATGAAACTGATTTGTGGGGGTGTCCTTAGGAGCAAGGGCAGTTACATTTGTGAAACATCATCCTTTGTGTATTGTTGAAAGCATTTGTAATGACTATTAAAAATGTAAGATGTATAGGCTCACATTTACTGCAGTAAAAGCTTTTATTTGAACATTTTATTTCTAATATAATAATTTAATAAGAGACATTGTTGTTTTTCCCAAGTTCATTACTCTCTTCATTTATCTCTTAAAGCTGTGTCACTATGCAGGCAGGACCTCCTTCAGTGCGAAGGATGTCAGTGAACTGGTTCTCAGGCTGACAGAGCCTTGGAAAAGAGATTTTAAACTGGTCCGCCAGCTCAGACGTAATCCTTTCCCTCTGGTGGTTAAACTTTTACTATATGCATATGGTGGACATCATCTGCAGCTCTCTTTAACATGGATATGAATTATATTGCAATCATCTTATTCCCTCACTATGCTTTTAAAGATTTTGCACACTGACCCGAGTTCATGCAGAGTTTACAGCCTTTTGGTGAATTATTTCCTGACTCCCACAGGTCTCACCTAGTCTCCTCTTTCCCCTAGCCAATCTTTCCTTTGCTAAGCTCTAGAAATTCCAGCACTGAAACTCAGGGTTTTCCTTGTGTAAGAGAAAATTGTTGCCCTTATCCCACTCACCCCATTGTACTTCCCACCCACCTTTGGACACAGATTGCAGTGGATCTCTGGGTCATAATTACATTTGTGAAAGGCAGCAAGAGATAGGGGGAGCATGCCTGCACAAACTCATTATTACACTAAATACTTTGAGAGAAAAGGGTCTCAAATATATGTTGACACTTAGATAAAAATTCCCACCTTTGTTCAGTTGTTCCCATTGTAGAACCCATTCTCTCCAGCTCTGTTGAAATGAAGTCTTATTCTCTCAATATGGGATGGACTGCACTTTTACAAATGAATTTATTTAACAAACTCACCCTTATCCAGTTTGCCTCAAAGCCACTAAATGTTTTTTACATTCATTTAATCTTTGAAGTTGGGGAACATGGAAGCTGTGACCATTTTCACTTACTGCCTCCTCCTCTCAGTCGTCACATCAGATTTTTCTCTATAGAATAACAAAGACATAGTTTTTAGAGAACAGCTGTATGCTTGTGTTGCTTCTTTCAAAAACAAAAAACAACTAAATACTTCCAAGTTAACAAAAAAGTTGATTTATTCAATATAATGAAATGTGATAAATTTAGAAAAATATCTCTCTGAAATAATGTGAAATGGTTTTCTGATTAAAAATAAAAAAGCACTCTATGAGACTCTCTAATACTGCTTTTTTTTCTTTTTTGTACATTTAAAATTTTGAATAAGTAGTACATTCACAGAGGTTTAAAAATAACTACCATATCTCAGCCCATGGAGTGCTTTATTCCTTACGCAGCTGTAGACTTGCCTTTGTATGGATATGATATAATTATTCAACTGGTCCCATATTGATGGATATTTAGATTGCTTCCCATTTGGGAGTATTAAAAACAATACTGTAGTAAAAAACCTTGGGCCTGTAGTATATAGCACATATGTTTAATTTCTAGATATGGTATTGCTGGGTCAGTAGTATGTACATTTTCAATTTTGAAAGCTATTGCCAGGTGCTTCTTAGGTATCAAAATCTCTCACCACTAGTGCATGAAGGCACCTTTTTCCCCATAGCCTTCACACTGTTTACAAATGTTTGAATTTTGCCACTTTGATAAGTGACAAATATATCTCAGTGTGACTTCAATTTGTATTTCTCTTCTTTGACTTAAGCTGCATATCTTTTCATATATTTAAGAGCCATATGTATTTCTTTTGTGATAATTGTCTGCTTATGTCTTTTGCCCATTTTTCTGCTAAGTAATGGAAATTAGGCCTTGCTCTGTGATAGGAGTTGCAGATAGCTTTCTCAATTTTGCATTAGCTTTTTCACTTTAGTTATGATGGCTTTTTTGCCCTACAGAAATTGTTGGTCTTTATTAGTTGAATTTATCTGTCTTTGCTTTTTCTTGTGGCTTCTAAATTTTGAATCATGGCTAGGAAGGCCTTCCTCAATCTAGGATCATAAAGGAAATCTCCCATACTTCCTTGTTTACTAGCTTTATTTGACATATCTTTGACCTGTTTGGGGATTTATCCTGATATGTCATGTAAAGTATGGATCCAGCTTTATTTTGTCATTGCTTTAAACAGTGCACCGTGTTGTCACAGGCCAGTTAATGAATAGTCTTAATATTTCTTCTTAAAATGGTTTCAAGGTCCAAAAAGTTGGCAGCTCTTGGAAAAGTCTTGAAAGAAGTATCCCTGACAAAGGACCAGCTGGGATTAGAAGTGGAAGAGCTGGAAGCGGCAGCACTTCTCGTCTGGGAGGAAGAAGCTGCAATGGAAGCAGCCCGTTGTGTTTCTGGTCAGCAGACATCTTCCTCCAGTTCTGAGGCATGTGATTTAGAGGACTCAGACAGCACATCATCTGAGACCGAAGACTCAGGTTCAGAACAAGAGGAGCTCAAAAGTAGTGAGTCTGAGACAGTAAATTCTTTGCAAGATCCCTTTCCTGAGGAAAGCAGTGCCCTGCTTATTGATGATGGTGGGGTGTGCAGAAACTCTGCCATCCTGAGGTCTGATGTTTGTCAGGGAAAGCCACTGGCCTCATCCCAGGCTCTTGACGGGTTTGGGCCTCTGATAGAGGAGCTTGGAGGACAACTGAAGTCTACAGTTCAGATTTCCAGACCCGAGGGCTCTGCTGCTGGGAACCCCAGCCGTGTACAGGGCAGAGACGACTGGCAGACTCCAAAGGATTGATTTTAAGGGGTTTATTCCTTGTTGAGAGTATGTCAGATTGGATTTTATTTCCTGACTGAGAATTCTTCATTTTTATTTTGTACTTTTTCTAAGTGTATACATTATTTTTTAATGAGCTAATGTTAATACCTTTTAGTTTCCTTGCTGCAAACTTCTACAGTATTTATACCAAAGTGTAATAAATATTTGAGGATGAAAATAATAGTTCTGCGAGAACTTCTAGAATGTAGAGCCCATTAGTATTTTTAATAGTGTTACCAAGGTATACTTGACATACAATAAACTGTACATACTTGAAGTACAATCTGATAAGTATTGATGTAGATATATACACTAAATTAAATCATCACTGCAATCAAGATACTGTACTTACTCAACATCTCCAGTGTCCTCATGTCCCTTTGTTACCCCTTTCCCACTGCCCACCACACATGCCACCCACCCCCACTGCCAGGCAAGCATTGATTTGGCCTCTGTCACTATACATTAGTTTGCATTTTCTCTTAAATCATGTATAAATACTGTTTTTTTAATCAGGCTTATTTCACTCAGTAAAATTTTTTTGACATTCATCAATGTAGCAAGTATCAAGAGGGTTTTTAAAAATTTTTCTTCATGCCTGAGTAGTATTTCGCTGAAGAGATTTATCCGTTCATTTATTGATGGACATGTGGGTTGTTTCCAGCTTTTGGCTATCACCAATAAAACTGTTCATGAATATTTCTCTGCAAGTTTTTGTGTAGATATATGCTTTTATTTCTCTTAGATAAATATCCAGGAGTAGAATTACTGAGCCATTGTGGTAGATGTGTATGTTTAACAGTTTAAAAAACTGCCAAACTGCTTTCCAAAATAGCTGTACCATTTTACATTTCCACCAGCCATATATGAGAGTTCTAGTGCTTTCACATTCTTGTCATCACTTTGTATGGTCAGTTTTTTAAAATTTTACTATTTTAATAGTATGAGGCTGCATCACATTATAATTTTAATTTGCATGTTTTAACGCTTACAGTATTGACCATCTACATATGCATATTTTGTCATCCACATATCTTTTGTGGAATGTCTGTTCAAATCTATTGCCAATTTTTTTAAGCTGAGTTATTCGTTTTCTTATTTTTGAGTTTTGATAGTTTTTTATAAATTCTCAACACAAGTCCTCAATATGAGCCATTTTTGCATGCCTTGTAATCTTGGATTGGAATGCAGACATTGTGAATTTTATCTTGTTGAGTGCTGGATATATATTCTTATAAATATTCTTTACTTTTGTTTTGGCATACAGTTTAAGTTACTTGGGAATAGTTTCATCTTTATGAGTGTTGTTTTTGTAATTTATTAGGCAGGTCTGGAACAGTGCTCAGCCTGAGACAAACTATTTCATAGTACTAAGGAAAGATTTCCCCATGCCCCACGAATTATGAGTTTTCTAGTCTAGCAGATGGAAATAGGTACCTGTGTGTATGCCAAGCACTGTGCCCTCTAATCCTTTCCATTGGTTGTTTCCCCAGCCTCATTTCATGCTCTCATCAGTAGGTAATCTCTTGACTACTAGAGGGGAACCTATTCCAGATACCAGGTTCTCTGCAACTTTCTCTTCTCTGGTACTCAGTTCTGCAAACTCCAGTTGCCTTGGTCTCCCCAGGCCCTCAACTCTGTTTCCCGAACTCGAGAGTCCACTGGGTTCTACCTGGGTTGTCCCTCTCTCTGCAGCCCAGAAAGTCTTTCAGAGCAGTGGGTGAGGCAATCACATGGCTCACCGTGTTTGCTTTCCATCCCACAGGATCACTGTCTTTTATTGCCTTATGTCCAGTGTCTTGAACATTGTTATGTATTATTGCTGTTTTTTGTTTTCTGGTTATTTCAGGTGAGAGAGTAAATCTGGTCCTTATTACTCCATCGTGATTGAAAGTGAAAGTGTTCATTAGTATTCTCTCACTTAAGTGTCAGCTCTTAAGGAGCATGGTCTGTGTCTTGTCTTGTTACTGCTGAATCATCAGTGTACACATTCTCAGTCTTTCCTAAATATTTGTTGAATGAGTGGACAAATCAAGTAAACCAATTTGCTTTGGGGAAGAAATGATATGCATTAATCTCAATAGCATTTTTATTTCAAGAAAGGATATGATCTTTTTATTCTGGGCTTATGTAGATTGAGAGTATTTGTATTTCCAATATATATTGCAGTTTGTCTTAACAGGATAGTTAGGGTGATTGTGCCATTTGACATGCATGTTAACCCTGAACACTCTAACAGCTCTGTCAGAATGTGTTCAAGACTTTTCTCAGGCTCCCTGGAGAGCTTCAAAATCTCGGTGGCCATTGCGAATGCATTACTCCCCAGTAGCACATTACCTGAAGCTAGTTTGAAAACACATTATTCGTTACTCCCCTCATTTACTTCTACTGACATCAAGTTGAGCAGATCCACTCTTCTCTAAACATTTGAAGCCATGGAAATTTTTCCAGCGACTATCCTTACCTAGGAATCTAAAAATTATCTACTTTGATGAAACTTGTCTTGGAAAAACCTGTTATTCCCTTCCTCAAAGAATTAGCAAACATGATCATTTCCAGATATCCTCAAAGTAAAGGGGCTCGTTAAACAACTATCATGAGTATTAAAAACAATGTTGAATGAGCACTTTAATTTTAGACTTCCTGTCTGCAGTGTTTCTTTTACCCTCTCTTTGTTCTCAGAGGATTAAAGCTCTGTTATATCATATTACTCTTTGTTATAGATAAGTTAAAAACACTATGCCATATCTATAACCCAAAACAAGTCCAAAGGTGCTGCCTTTTTTTTGAAAACTAGACAAGCTGCCAGTTAACTCTAGGTATCTCTTATAATCATGAGTTTCCCCAAAATTCTGGGTGGTAGGAGAAAAAACTAAGTTGGGGAAAGAGCAGGGAAGACACCTCAGTGACTGCCTAGCTGCAGCTCAGTGGAAGAACCAAGGTTTTAGGGTTGACAAGATGAGAGTTCCAGAACCACAGCTCAAGTGTGACCAGCCCACTGCGAGGTAGGCCAACCTCCAAATCTCTCCCTTCATCTTGAATATGGAAGTAGAACTTCTTTCATTTATCTTACAAGATGATGAGGCTGTGTGTTCAAAATACTTTATAAACAGGAAACTATCAAACTAACATAAGCGTTTATTATTATTGTCTGACTTCCCAGAGCTGAACTGGGCTCTATTCAGCTACTTGACAACAGATTGCTGGGGGAGCTGGCATGTAAACATGAGTCAGTCCTGTTAATCACTTCAGAGGCATGCTAGTTGTAAAAGTCTACACAGTTCAGCAGGTTAGATGGGAATACAAATTATATCAGTGAAGCACAGCCCTGCCCCATCTTCTGGGTTTGTGTTATCATTGACCTACTTTTCTGTGTTTTTCTCTTCTCTCGCATTATCCTTCAAGAATAATGCAGGGCCTTGCTGTGGGCATGATCAGTTTAGATGCAAGTAATTATGCTGATACCATCTTTCATTGGCACAGGATTAATTTACAGATGAGACAGGCCTGCTCACTGCCACATTCTAAATTGGTTGTACAGCTGGCATGCGGGTGGGTGGCACCTACTAATGAAAAATATACTTTGGTTCTGTGAATGAAATTCTGTTACCAAGAACTGGGGGAGAGAGAGAAATGGTCAAGTTATCTCAGTTGTTGAGACTTTATAAAATTATTTTAAATCAGAGGGGCTCCTCGATATCTATTTTGTTATAAAGAGGTTTTTATTATTATATATCTTGTAACACCCATATAGTCAATGGTGTCAGAAACAGACCTGCCTAAAAGAGATAGAAATAAGTTCAGGACACCTTGGAAAGAAAACTCTAGGCAACTCTAGAGTTGTCCCTCTATTAAAAAATACCAAATCTTCAGAATGTATTAATTATGAAATCTTTAAAGATGCAGAAATCCCTTTGCATAAAATGATCTGTCATTGTATATCAGGTAAGCCAAAGTTAAACTTCATAAATGGAAATCTCTGTGACTGTTTGGTCAGACATTTCCTTTAAACGTCCTGATGGAATTTTTGTTTGTGATCTGCTCCCTTTCCCACCACTTTTCTTTCTCTCTCTCTTTTTTTAAAGATTTTATTTATTTATTTTTAGACAGAGGGGAAGGGAGGGAGAAAGAGAGGGAGAGAAACAGCAGTGTGTGGTTGCCTCTCACATGCCCCCTACTGGGGACCTGTCCCACAACCCAAGCATGTGCCCTGACTGGGAATTGAACCCGTGACCCTTTGGTTCGCAGGCCAATGCTCAATCCACTGAGCCACACCAGCCAGGGCACTGCCACTTTTCTGAGTGTGTTAGGTATAGTTTCAATCCATACCAAATGAAGGAAACATGGATTTGACTTGATTTAAGGAAGCAAGTGATATAGATGCAGCTGGAAATTGATTCATTCCTCTTGATTGACTGTGCACAGCCTCCCACTGGTGACATACTTTTTCTCCAGGTTGGAGGAAACACACAGCAGATAATGACTTTGCTGTTTTGAGCACTCTGTGGAGGCCTCTTGTTTCCTAGATAAGGGATTCATGAAGTAAGCTAGAGCAAAAGGATGAATGTAGAAGTAAATGCCTAAGTACTGGGAAAAAACAAACAGAATTTTTCTCCAGGAAGACTCTTTTGCGTGGATCTGTTCTCCTTTCCCCTCAAACATGCTGGAAGAAAAGATTTTACCACACAAGCCTCAGTCCTAGCTGAAATCATATGTGCTTCCTCTCTAGTATTTTAAGTGTTTACAATGGTATGCCATTGTTGTCTTTTAAACTGTTCTCAGGGTAACATTCCCCAGTTACTCTTGTTGGAGTGCACATTCAAGGGAAGAAGTAGTAGGAATGGCTGAGTAACTTGAGATTCCCACACTCATTCCTCCCAACCCACCCTGCCTGGCCCCGCCCCAGCTTACAGTTGTCAGGCCCAAAGTTCCCACAGTTTGGAACCAGTCCAGAAAAACGTGAAAACAGTAGCCCCATTGCAA